TCTGGTCCAATTACTTCAAAGTAAAATCACAAAATGTTACGGGAAGTATAAATATTTTTCACTCTTAACAACCGCAGTAGCAATAGTTGAATTAACCAATCATTTGGACAAAACATTATTTTGCTGATTTGGCAGCACTAATTTAAACATTAAAAACAAACATGTGGGTGTTGGGCATAAAGAGCATCCTGAAATTACCATTCACAGCCACAAGATGGAGTCTGATATGACTGTACTTATTTCCACAGAATTTACCATGGGCCCAATCCTGCTTCTATTCAAGAAAATGGGGGTGAGGGGAGTTGGGGAAATAATTGACGTGAATGCAAGCAGAATCAGTCCTGTATTTGTATTTGACAGTGGTACTGAACTGGCTGCTCAATCAATGGATTTGTTTGGAAGAAAATGATTTTAAAATTGTACTTCTAACTTTTCTAAGACAAAGCTAAATGAAGAACACCAGTATTTCATGTTTGTAAGGAATTTCTGCAGATGTAGGATATGGTGCATACAAGTTGTGCCTAAGCTTTTCACCCTGCAGTCCAAACATAATATTAAAATAGGTCCCTGGGCAACAGTTAAAACCTTGGGACAGATTTTCTGCCATGATCTAGTCCTTTTTCCTGCTCAGACAACACAAAGAAAGCAGAACCTACTCGCAAGGTCCCTGCTGGGGATCATCCAAGAGAAGGGGAACCTCCAATGGGTTTAAAGCTGGAGCACTGACTCCTATGCATCCCACCTTGCAGCCCATAGTATAGGGGATGAAGAGGGGTATATGATTAGACCATGCTTTAACCTGTGCTGCAGCAGAAAATCAGGGAGCCAATGCAGGTTGTGGTTCTCATCTGCGCTGCTGCTGGTGGCGGCGCTGCCTTCAGAGCTGGGTGCCCAGCCAGCAGCTGCTGCTCTCTGCTCTGCCTTGCGAACTGAGCAGTGGCTGCTGGCCAGGTGCCTGGGGGAAGGGGATGTGTAAACTACTAGACACAAAGAAGGGTGGCGCAATCAAATACGTTTGAGAACCACTGCCCTACAGCACCCGCTTTCAGCAGGCTGCAGCACAACAAGTGCACCTGCCTCAGTTTGCTCCAACTCCCCAGTAACTCTATGCCAGGTCCTCCAGTCCCCTGGTCTCCAGCAGCTCCCACCTGATTCTCACACAGGCAGTTCTGCTTCATCAGGTCTCTCTCTCTCTCTGACTCACTGATCCTTCATAGCCCCAAGTGGTGCCCTGCCCTCTTAATTGCCCAAAGTGGGAACACTGGTTCTGGCACAGGGAAACTGGACCTATGTCATTTGCTGGGGCCGGAAACCCTGTGATGTATCTATTTTAGTCAATCATCCTTTTATAGGCCATCACCATTGATGAGAGATCTGTTTTACTATTTGATACTTGTTGTGTTGTAACAATGCAGTCATAAGTGTAACTTAGTTGATGTTCCTGTTTAGAATGGCTCAGTGTAAAATTCATGTGAATTTTTGTTTTTGTTTTTAAATTTTCATTTCATTTATGCCAAAACACTGAGTTTGATCTCACATTGGTGCAGATCAGAAATGATTACACTGAAGTCATGGAGTTAGTTATGCCAGGTTAAAATTTAGTTAAGTGAGATCAGAATCAGGCCCTCCTTGTTCAAAACCACATTTTTTATAATGTCACACTTGAGCACCAACTCCTAGCAGTGTACAGCTGGGACTTCATCACTGAAAACAAACACAAAATAAAGTAAGTGGAATTACCACAAAGAAGAATTTGACCTAGTCTGTTAAATGGGAGGGGAAGAGTGAAGGTGGAGGTAGACACAAAGAAGTAGTCAGCATGGGATTGAAGAGAGGCAATTCAGGGGGAGAGAAGCGCTGGAATAAAAACTGTCCTCTGCCCCCACAATGCCAAGTACTTATTTCAGCAGCACTTTGTTGACCTCCAGCCACTTTAATGCACTTTGGTTTCATATTGAAATTATTCAGTATTCTGTTTCTTTCAAAAGTGTTTTAAGAGCATTAGTTGTGCCTTTGATATCGCTGAACACAGGGTAATCAAGAAGAGGGACAGGCAGTCCACATGCTATAGGTAAACAAGAGAAAAATGGCTAGGAAAAAACAAACATTAAATGTATTCAAAATAGGAGAAGAAATGTATTTACAAACTATTTCCTGCTTCTGTATTTTCTATCTTTCTACTGTTATTTTTAGAAGAAGGCCATATTCCCTAACCTAGTTCTACTACAGCCTTATTTTCCTTTTACTCCCACCAAAAATAGTTTTCTACAAAGGTTATTTCTCTTAAAATGACTCTTAACAACAGTTCATGCCTCACAAGGCTACCAATGTGCACCTTCTTGTAGCTTTTTCCTATACCAAAATATGTAGCACACTATTCTACTGTGTATATGAAGTGTCTGCATTTACCCACTAAACCAGATTAATAGCTCAGGAGAAGCCATTTTGGTTTAAATGACTGTTTAATGAGTAAATGTCTACATAAATCATAACACAAAAGAATCTGATGACTGTATGAGTTGTATCCAGCCATTCAGCTGACTGTTGACTTTTAACCAATAGTACCTCTGTGGTCTGGGTTATGCAGCTACAGACATTGCTCCTGATTCTGAGAGGGAGTCTTCCTCTTGTTAGTGACTGTGTAGTGGTTTTGTTGTTTTTTTTTGGTCCCAATCTTCCTGTGCCCAGGAGGTATCCCATTGCCTTCAGTGGAACTCCTCTCATAGGTGAAAGTCCATGCTACTGTGTGCAAATACAGGATTGGTGCCTTAGACATTTCATAGCTGCCTACGGCCACCTTCTTCCCAGAGGTGAACTCTGTCCAATCAGACTGTCATAAAACAACCAAGACAGGGAGAATGACCCACATTCTGTGTCCCACAGCATCTTAGCATGAAAGGCAAGGCATTTCTCATGTGACATTTGGTAGGACAGAGAATATTTTTAAAGGCCAAAGACTATGGCATCTCTGTGTGGCTGTGTTTGAGACTTCTGTTACAAAGAAAAAGAGGGTGTACACAGCGTGGAAGATTGAGAAAAACAAAAATCCCAACCCATCCTCCCCCCTTTTTTAAAGTTATGCACATGCTTAAATATACACAAGATCAGTACCTAATTTTAGACATGCTGCGGCGAATAAGAGCAATAAACAAGGGAGAAGAGAATAAGAGCATGTAGCTACTCAGAGTTCATGTACATCCTGAAGGTTCCATTTTTTAAAATTTATAAATATTTCTAAATATTTAGAGGATTGGGGGGGGTTGGGGTTTCGAATTTACATTTCAGGCTATCAAAATTATATTGTTTTTGAAAAAATCTGACACTATACATTTAAAAATACATGCATTTAAATTGACAAGTGTTTTTAAGCTTAGCTCCACTTAGTAACAAAATCTTTCCCCCCCCTTTCCTACACAAATTAGAGTTTGTAGAGGAAACTTTATTACTTTCACAGCACCTTGATTACAAAAGGCAATTACTAATTCTGAAGTACATTAAAAAGACATGACCTGATTAGGGCATGATGATTAAGATACAGATACAGATTAAGATTAGGATGCACTGATATGACCTACAAAATAAAATTAAAACCACCTTTGGGAAAAGCCAAAAGGTCTTATTCTTTGCATTGCTCTAGTTAAACAGGAATGCATTTTACTTTTATTCCATAACATTTAGTTTTGACCCTGCAAACATTTACATAGATGTTTAACTTTGCACACGAGTAGTCCCACTGAACTCAATAAGACTACTATGTGTAGTTAAGCATGTGCGTCTTTGCAGAACTGAGGTCCAAGTCACAGCTACCAAGCTGAACTCTAAAGACTATTTCACTTCCCCCATCCTGAATTTAACAGAGCTGTAAAAAGGCTTACTGGGCATTCTGGGACATTGAGAAATGCACTATTGTTGGATTCTGGCTTCCTCTCTTATGAAGAACAATTCCTTTCCCATAATTTGAGACTCTGGAGCCCCGCCACAAAGAGCAGCTCTTCTAATATGTGACATGGAACACCATCCTGGCATACAGCAGCTTTCTCACAGTTTGAAACATGAAAGCCCCTGTTGCAACCATAGCAGTAAAGTCTTGAAAACTTCAAAGAATGGTTTTCATTTTATTTTCGCCTTGATCCCAGGATATTGTAGTTCTTTTTCTTGAATTTTTATAAAATGACTTGTTCACTCACAGGCTCAGGTAAAAAATAGCTATCTGAATTGTCAAAAGTTCCCCATTTCACTCAGTTTCCATTTTTCCTTTGGCCTTTGGGTAGGAAGCTTCACTACTAAAACACTTTCCTAAATTCACCTTTGTGAACTGTTCCCTCTGTTTCACTTTGTGCCAATTTAAAAATAAAATCCTTTCAGTTTTACATAAGATGGGTCAGTTTCATGTTTTCAAGTTTCATCAGAGCTTATTTTGTTTAACAAGAGCTTGACTATAATATAACATTTTGCTGAAGTTCTGTTTCATCCCGTTAACTTTGAAACATTGTACAACCACAACTACCACCCCTCCCTCTCTGTGTTAAGATTACCCTGTGCCCCACCCCAATCCAATCTTCTCCACCAGCAGACCCGCCGCTACCTCCCATGCTCTCTCCATCCAATCCCTGCTCCCTCTGCTGCCTCCCAAAACCACCAGCCTCCTCTACTGCTGGGCTCTTCTTTTCCCACCCCTCAACCCAGCTTCCTTCCTCTGCTCTAAGCTCAGGCGTCCCCGCCTGATGGGCTGGTTCTGGGGATTCTCCTCAGCTGCACAAACCCCTCTGGAGGGACTGTTCCTCCAGCCACCGGTCGGGAGGTAGAGAGGCAGGAACTGAGGTGGTCAAGCAGGAGGGGGGGTAGATGTGAGGGACTGAGCACAAGGGTGCTGCTAAAGGGGGAGGAGTCAGGCTCAGTGAAGAGCTCCCTACCCCCCCTGTGAGGGGCCTCTGAAGTGGTGAATAAGCCTCCCAGGGACGGGGAAATAACCCCAAGTCCTGCCCTCCAAGGAGACAGAAATGAGCCTGGACTCCCTCTTCCAGCAAATTCTCCTCACGGAGCAGCAAGCAGAGAAGAAGCGGCGCCTCATGCACCAAGGTCAGCCACACGGCCGCCATCTTGTGCCTGGTGCAGCGAGGATGGCCAGGGGTGCCTGTGGTCACACAACTCCATGGTTCCCCGAGAGCCCTGAAATGCAGTGAGGTTTTTCCTCCATCTTGTGGTGGGGGTGGTGTTTTCAAGCAAGGTCAGTAAATGCTGACTGAGCCTTTCCCCTGGAGTATATCGACTCCTAGATTATAAGGCTGGAAGGGACCTTCAGAGTCTCTAGTCTCACCTGTATAACACAGGCCACAGAGTTACCCTGTCACTCTTGTATTGAGCCCAATAACTGAGTTCCTACCTCCCTCACCATCTCCTGTTTCGATAGTTCTAGTGAATTCCATAGGGACTCAGGGCAGCCCTGCAATAGACACGTGGGCTGGCTTTGAAAGAGCCTATCTCCCTTCTCCTGGGTTTGAATACAGCAGGGTCACGCACAACCTTGCCAACATATAATTTTTTATCAGGAGATTCAGGATATTTGTTGTTATTCCTAAAGCCCCAATTCCTAGAATCATGTTATTATAAGCGAATCTCAGTGCTTGCTCGCTCTTTTTTTTTTTTTTTTTTTAAAGAGTACATTTCTACCCTCCCGATGGTGGAGGAAAGATGAAAAACAAACCCAAAGGCTTAAAACCAGAAAGCGTATAAAAAGGATCTGCTTTTTTTTTTCTTTTTCCATCTCATGATTTTTAAGCTGACCTCATAATATTGGGAGCGGGGGGGGGAGGCTAAGCCATGATTTTTTGAATGGTTGGGTTTGGCAATACTGCAGTCTAGACCTGTAGTTTGAACTCTACAAAATCTGCTTTCAGGAAATGTAATTGCCTAGAGTGCAGTGGGAACTTTAGGAAGTTTGTCCAAGATTACACAGAAAACCGCCAGCAGACTTAGAAACAGAACCCCTGTATCTTGTCTCCCTGCCTGTTGTTTTAATCACTTGGTCATGGCGTAGCAGAGTATCAACAAGGTACTTTACTATACAGTAAAACAGGTGACCCTTACTTTAAATCAAATTTCCAAAGCTAGCTACCTGAATTATGCAAATGTCATGTTTGTCCACACTAAAGTAGTAATTAGGCACTTGTTCATTCACAACTGAATGTCGATTTCCACTTCTAGTAACTGATGACAGTGACAGTAGCTCTTATAGGAAAACCAATGTGATTAGAAGTCTAGCAATTATATGTCTCTTATAAGATGAAGTCCTCTTTCTACACCACTCTATCTTGCAAGCCGCAAATTTTTAAAAGAATCTCACTTTCACCAACTGATTTCATGTGTTTAAAGGTTCATTTTGTATTGCAGTTAAATTAGACGTAAACAGAAGTCATGAAAAAATTAAGCAAATAACAGAAGAGCTGAATGAAGCAAAAATAAAGTTAGAAACTAAGGTAGAGTAGTAATACTTATAGTATGTTAATTATTGTTATAGGTAAATGGGCTGTAATTTTAATATATTGTTCATGAACACTTTGAAGCAGTATACTTCATGTAGTGTTTATATTAATGATCATAGTGTTTGCTTTATGTATGTATTTGTATGCATTTCTATAGTGCTCATCTCCATAGTATCTGAACACTTCACAAGAGCATCGGCCTGCCATTTTGATCCCAGTCCTATAAGACTCACCATTCAGACTGACCCCTGAGATTGCATGGAGCCCCAGGGGCCTCAATAGGATTCCATATGGGCTCAGGGGTATACCAATCTGGTTCTTTTTACAAGCCTGGGGTCTTGATGTAGAAGGTAGAACACTCCTTCCTTCTCCTTCATTAACACTGTAAGATACATGCAGTTTGTTCACATATGGGCTTCACTGCCCACTTCCATTCAATGACGGCCCTACCTAGTGTGCACTGAAGTAAATTAAGAGAGTCCCAGAATTGACTTTAGTGAGCCTTGGATCAGGCCTTAAGAGTTCCCACCTCATCCACACATCAGCAATTCTATTTGTGTTACTCGCCGTCTAGCATGTACAAAGAGTGCTCTTATAGTTTGGCTAGTGCCATTGTAGACAGAACCACCTCTCTAGCCAGACCAGTTAGTGTTCAGCCACTCACTCTTTTACATTTTCTAATCCCTTTGTCCATATAGTAGATGTGGAGCCTTGTTTTGAGACATGAACTCCCTTTTTATACTCTCAGTTTTGTCAGTACGAATAATTGCGGGTGAAACTGATGTTAGAAACCCAGTTGTTTGTGCCTGCAAATGAGGTCTAAACGATGTCACCTGTGCTCTTAAATATCTGCACCCACAAAATTGTAGGTGCATAGTAAGCAGGCAGACAGAGGCTCCTTTTAGAGTCAGGCCTATGTTATCTCTAGTATTTTACCTATAAAATAACAGAAATATGTTAGTGATATCATGTTAGAGATAAATCTTGCAATCTTCTGGATTGTTCTTTGTGCCCCTTTTGACTTTTACTGCCAGACTCCTAATTTTACCAACACTTATACTACTAATTCATTTGGTGAGATGAATGAATGGTTTGGTGGCAATACCAATCTCTCCAAAAATATAAGCTGTTGTGTGGTTTGCCACACAATGCTACTGTGCCAGGTGCTATAAAACCCCCTAAAATAGATTAAGGTATGTTAGAGGGGGGGAAAAGAATCCACATAATTGTTTAGAAATGTTTACTAGTTACAAATTTAGATCTTGATTCTGCAAACAGTTACACGTATGCATGTCAACAGCCCCCAGGGCCGGCTCTGGCTTTTTTGCCGCCCAAAGGAGAGAAGGGGGGAGACCAGGGCTTCCTTAAGCAGGGCGCTTGCCACGCAGCCCCTCCCGCTGCGCCGCCTGCTGGGAGGGCTTCGTGCCGCTCCGTTCGGCAGGCAGGGAAGGACGCAGGCTGCCCTACCGGGCTTGATGCAGGGCGCTCCCCTCCTCCGCCCCCTACAGGGCGGCGGGAGCAGTAAACCAAAAAGAAAAAACCCGCAGGGGCAGCCAAAGCGGTGAAGCGCAAAACAAAACAAAACCAAAAATTAAAAAAAGGATTAGATGGAATGCTGCCCTAAGCACGAGCCTGCTTGGCTGGTGCCTGGAGCCAGCCCTGACAGCCCCATTGACTTCAATGGAACTAATGGCATAACTGTTTCAAAGATCAGAACCCAATATGGATCTACAATAGAACTGGTCTTTAATCAATACAAGGTTGGAATGTGTGATATTTGCTAGGTAACCAACCCCCTGTAGTCCTGCTTATAAAATTAATTTGAGAATCACAATTTTATTTGTATACCCCTAATTTGTTATTGATTCATTCTGGTTATAATTGTGGTTTGTATGGTAGGTATCAGAGGACTCAAAAGTAAAACAATTGCTGTACTTGACTAGTGGAGAAAGGTGAAGATGCATTCCTAATTGATTCCAGTGTCTTTTATATTTTAATTAATTATATGTAAAATAGTAGATTTTATTTGCTTGTTTAGTTTGAAATTAATTCATTTATCAAAAGGAAATGATGCAGGCAATAAAGGAAATGCCAAAATTTCAATCAAATAATATTTCAATACAAAGATTATAAATTGAGTAGTGAATTGTCAATTATTTTTCAATATCTAAAATTTAGCTTATTCTACAAATTCTCAATGTATCTACTGCAATTAATATAATCAAAGTAATAATATAATACTAAAGGCCTCCTCCAAATAACTGTATGTCATTTTTTCCCTCTCCCTCAGCTCCATCCCAACCCAGGCCTGAATAAGTAGATGAGCCTTTAGAGTTCAAAAATGTTTTGACATCTATTTCACAGAGACTGCTTGTGGTCAAGAGAACGCTCCTAGGAAATATTTTTTTTCTGTTCTGTAAAACCAGCTAGCATGTAATTAGAACTTGATTTACAGCATTTTGCTTTTCATGGCTCAATGATTTCTTTAAAAAAAAATTATTGCAAAGTAATAGATTATGAAGGCACTTTGGGGCCGGAGAAACTACAATACGCCTGGTTATATTCAGTAATATAAATACAGAAGCACAATATTAGTAACTTGCTTTGAATCAGTATGTAACAATAAATTATCCTAAAGCTCTTGGTATTGGAGGAACAAGCTCCCTGACACCTTCACTAAAATATGGTTGGTATGTGAGGAGAAAATCTGGCCCATTGTTTTCTTTTCCAAATTCTCCTAATTTTGCCCAAGCTTCATTACTATTGATACTATCACCATTCTCTCTGTTATTCAGGCATATCAGCTTGACTGTACCCTCTCTCAACTTGCATATGTAGACAGTTTCCAAATCTTGTTACTTCTTCTTCCATAATATATCTAACATTTGGCCTTTTCTTGCCATCCACACCACTAAAACTACCATATAGACTCTCACTGTATTTCCTCTTGACTACTGCAATCTCATCCTCTGTGGGCTTCCTGACAGCCACTTTGCTCCCTTGTCATCAGTTCAAAAGGCTAAGCTCACTTTCCTTAACCAGTGTTTTGACCATTTCAGCCCTCTCTTTGAGTCCCTTCATTGGTTCCCACTCACCATCACATCAGATACAAGCTTCTGGTGCTTGCCTTTAAAATCCTTCAATTACTTAGTTGCTCCCTACTTATCTGCTCTTGTATCTTATATTCTGCCCCCCTACGCTTGCTTAGTTTTAAACCTCCAACCATGGTTGTACTGCAAAATCTGGAAGAATTCTCCTTAAGTGGTATGCACAAATTAGTTGAGCAGCTTACCCCATCAGTTGAAGTACTGTTTAAAAAAATTAAATCTGAAAATACAAATGTGTACACAAGGAAGGTTTTTAGTTTATTTGGCATTTTATAGTAGAACTGTCTTCAGCCCAAAGCTTGGTCCCATCATTACTCTTCCCTGGCTGATAGTTCTCACAGTCATACTGGGAAAATTTATGAGACCATCAATCCCTACTTCATCGTCTATAGTAGAAGAGGCATCGCATAAATAGCTCTCTATGGCTAACCACCAACATTCAGAGAAGAGCACAATAACTTTGGATTTTTGTCCCTTTGAAGTTAATCTATGCCTGACTTGATATCTGGTTAGATGGAGAAAAACTCACCTCTATATTAAGCTATCTAAAAGATTGTATGCTCTGTTGAGTCTCTCTCCATTCCAGATGAAAAATTTTCTGGCTAAAAATGAGAGTTAAGGACTCCATTCTCTATATTGGTAACAGCACTGAGCTTAGCCTCTGAAGAGGGGATACTGCTGCAAAGAATTGTGGTTAGACTGCAAGCTAATGAGAAAAGGAGACCCATTAAGCTTCCATGGTCCAGCAGCTATGCAGACTTTTTTTTTCTGGTTAGGACTCTTTATGTGCAAGACCTATACATCATGTGTACTTATTTTTATCACCAATAATCTTTTGTTCTCTTTGAAGGTTCAACAGCTGTCTGAAAAGCTCTTCTACTTACAGCTTTTGAAGAAACGTGAAGACATCTTAGAGAAAAAGAAAGTTGAACTTATGAATCAAAGGAGTATTTTTCTCAAAATCTTTGTATGTTTCCAGTTATACTATTTAGGAGAGTTCAGTTTTACAAAATACTGTATGACTACAGTCAGTTTTATATTTAGAAAAAAATTGGACACTAATAAATTATGAAAATCTGAATGATTAAAATTTGTTTTGGTTCTAACAAATTAAAACACAAAGAAATTCAGAATCTCACTCCAAACGTTAATCCGTGATTTTAGATAATCTACCTCCTGGATTACCTTTAAAAACTTTTCAGTTGTCTTTATAATTTAGTAGTATTATTGCAGTGTCTAGCATATTCCCCTTCCTACATATAGGACAGAATAAGGAATACTGTAAATATTATACTAATACTACTTAGCTATAAAGGCAAAATTGCTGTCCTCTGATGGAATGTGAATTTGATATCAACTGTATCCAGTGAGATTTGATGCATGGATTATCTCTTCCCTTGTTTACAAGGGAATTCACTTTTTATTTAAATCAGCATGCAGATAAGAGCTTTGAATGGAATTTAATCTTGTCATTGACTTTATGAATGTATTTTTCTATAAATGGAAGTTTTTCTTATAAAAACAAATACTTAAAAATAAATTTGGGACCTATTTCTAAAAGGCACCGAGAAACCCCATATTCCGACTCCCTAACAGGGTCAGCTTTCTTAGGCTATATTTTGGGAGCTTAAATAGTGTAGTGGCCTTGTCCTGAACTTCTGCAAAGGGGTGAATTTCACCCTTAATGAGCAATTTAAAGAACCAAAAAGAATGGCCATTTTGTGCCATTGATTTTAAGCAGAAGTCTCCATTTATTTCAACACATGCTTAAAAATTGATAGCATAATGTGGCCTCTAACACTAATGATACAGCACTATTATTATAGAACACCCTGCTTTCATTTTGTCACAAGAGCGAAACAGTAAGATTAATGCAACAGAAGTAATGATGGAGATCTAGACCATTTCCCTGTTTTTCCAGGTTACAAAATAGAATACATACTGATTTTACATAGTTATAAGGGGGTAAAACTGGATTTCAGCTCCATTGTTTTAACAAAGATTCTATTTTCCTCTGTGTATTTTCTTTCCACCTTTCTAGTCAGATACAAAGAGGAAAATGATTGAAGAAGAGGAGAATTTTATGAAGGAAATCACAGATTTTAACAATGAGTATGGACTAACATGTAACAGAGAGCTTTTGATTAGAAAAAAAGCCAAGACTGAAATATGTGACTTAGAAACTCAGGCAAATATTTTGAAAAATGGTACGTCTTACGTTAAACTATTTTATCTTGGATTGCTAGAGAATACAAATGACTAAAACTTAACTGAGTAAAGCAATACTTTTAAACTGATTGCCTTCCTAGCTGGATATTTCTCTTAGGGCTAGATTGTGAGATCATGATCTGACCTAAATAAGGGGCAGTGTGTTGGTGTGGCTATGTTGCCCAGTACACTCTCTCCCACTCATTTCTGCTATGCGGGGAAGTACAAGCTCTGCGGTCCCTGCATCTACGCCTGCACAACTGTCCAGGAGGTCATAGCCAACAGAGAGGTATGAGGGGGTGCACATTGCATTACCACGTTAAATGGACCACAATTAAGCCCTCAATGATTATTGACCACCAGCTTTGAGTCCTACAAGCCCTCCTAAATTCAGTGGGAGTTACATGCACAGGTACCTCATGGGATTGGTCCTTTATAGTTATTGTCTGAAACAGGATCCTATGACCCTTTGAGCTAAAATACAGAATATAAGATTATCATAGCAGGTGGTCTAACCATGGCCTTTCTTGTTCCTCTTCCTTGCTGACTGGGCAGTCATTCTTTGTGCTAGCCACAGACCATACTAGTAACAAAGGCAATGGCTACTTGGACCATTTCAGTTCCCATTTCTCCAGGTGAACCCAACTCACCCAGCTGGCGATAAAGTCCAGAGTTCCAGCAACATGCATAGCCAACAAGGATAAAAAATTTCTCTCTTCAGACAGTTTGACTTGACAGACTTAATTCATCATGCACCTGTTCCTTGTATTCCCTGTTTGTACATACAGATAATTCTAATAGAGTTGTCCATATGTAATTTCTTGTACATCAGGTTTTATAAGTCTAATTGTATTTTTAGCCTAATGTCCTTTTAGAATATCCGAAGATGGTTAGAAGTAATTAAAGAGTATTTAAGATTATACCATGAAGATTAAAACTGTAATACATTTTAACTTAAAATATATTTCTTCTTAGAAATGGAGTCAATGGAATGTGAAAATGTTCAGTTAAATGCACTCCAGCTGCAGAAGAATGAATTAAAGCAGGATTTATTTACTCTCCAGAGCAAACTCAAAGGTATTTAATGTGTTGGATAGTCACTTATTATGATAATCATTTGTGATTTGACAAACACATTTGACAAATAGTTCCCCTCAGATATTTTTCACAGAAGTAAGATTGTCCCAATGACTATTCATGGTCTTAAAGAAAGATATGAATTGTTACTTAGAATGACAATGGATAGTCACTGGGACAGGGAAAGAGACTTAGAATGGATGTATAGCTTGGTATTTAGGGACTCACCTGGGGGATGGGATACCCGAGTCCCTGCTCCAGTTATAATTTTTTAAAAGTAGAACACAGCTTCAAGAGAAGAGATTGAAAAAGACGCATACTAGAATATTCATAGCCCGGTGACAGTAGTGCACTACTCTTCTGAAATGTGGGAAACCCCAACTAACATCTCTTCTCCGCATCAGGCAATGGGAAGAATTGAACCTAGGTCTCCCACATCCCAGGTGAGCGCCCTTATCACTGGGGTAAAACCCACACTTTTATAACAATTCTCAAACTTAGATTCACCAAACAATTTTTTTAAATACAGTTTTTGGTTTGACCGAAAACTTTCTTGAAAACCAAAAAAAGCCATTGTCCATCTAGCTTTAATGATAAACTGTTTATCCTGCTAATCTTTTCAAATATAATACAGCATTGATTTAGAGTGAGGACATGAGAAATATATAAATATGTGTGACTTGATTTACGAAAGAACCAACAAAAGGTGACAAAGTAAACGTTTTTGTCAGTGTGCTGGTGGTGCATATCTGCCATAAAATAAAGCAGGCGCATCGGATAACTCAGGATAATCTGGGCTCTGAATCTGCTCTCACGGAAGTCAAACAGTAGGTGTTACCATTGTCTTCTGTGGAAGCAGGATAGGAGCCATAAAAGACAAAGATGCTTATAAATTTGAACCAGTAGTGTCACTCTCTTCCAGACTATTTTTATCATTTATGGATAGATTGATAGTAATATAGTTATCTATCCTCTCCCTCATTTCCTTTCGCTTCCTGCCTCCATCATTCCTTTCTCCAACCTCACCTTCCTTTTCATCTCTTCTCTCTTTATAATACTGAAACAATCTCTCTCCGAAATACTCTGGTGTTTGAAATACAGCTCTGATCCATGCATACTGTAACACCTCTTGATAGCCTGTCATCTAGATTATTATATACAAGCATCTAGTAATAAAATGGGTTTATTTGTGTGACACTTCAAATAGTGCAGAGTTCACTGGGTCCAACTTTTGTCCCATTTTGTTTAACACTGCAGTCCATTCACCATCATAATTATTTACTGTATTACGGTAGTGCCTAGGAGAGCTAGTCACAGACTAGGAGGCCACTGTGGTAAGTGCTGTGCAAATTCAGAACAAAGAGATGATGTCTGTCCCAAAGAACTTACAATGTAAGAGCATTTGTATTCTGCCATGGGGAAGTGTGATTGAAGCATATACAGACAGATATGAAATCAAAGCTAGCTTGAGTAACAGCAGCAGCATTGGTGTCTGCACATGCTACTCCTGCCTGCAGAACCCTGCATACATACTCGAGCAGTCACCGACCATGCTGCTGCAGCTTCACTACTACTGTTGCTCAAGCTATCTTTGTTGAGTTTTAAGGAGAGTTTTTGAGGAAGATAATGATGTAGATTTGCAAATGGTAGATTTGCCCCTCCCAACTGCGAGGAACTGCATGTAATAAGGAATGAAGGGCTCGTTTAAAAATTGTACAAGTGGGTGATGGCATCATGGGCCGACTGGAGGTGGGAGTCAACATCTCAGTACTGAATGAGAGATAACTAGGGTGGAGATAGGCCATAAAGGGCCTTGAAAGTGAAGACAGACATCTTATGTTTCATGTAATAGAGAAGGGGGAGCCAGAGAAGGGATGCAAAGACAGGAGGGATGGGGTCAAAGTGACAGGACAGAAAAATGATCTTGGGAGCAGCATTTGGAGTGGATACAAGCAGGGCAAGACTACATTTGTCAAGGCTAGAGAAAAATCTGAAAGAATCAGCAAGATTTAGTCAGCCTGGACATGAGGACCTACAAAGAGGTCAAGTCAAAGATTATGCCCATGACATGGGTCTGAGTGACAGGCAGGATGGCAGTGTTGTCCACTGTGATTGAGAAAATAGGTATTGAGGAAGGCTTGGGGGAACAGGCAGGAGATAAGAAGCTGAGTTTTAGCTATGTTGATCTTGAGCTAATGACTAGACATCTGTGAGCAGATGTCAGAGAGACAGGCCAAGATTTTAGTTTGGACAAAGGGAGATAGGCCTGGAGCCAAAAGATAGATCTGAGAGTCATCAACATAGAGATGGTTGAATTTGTGTTTACAGATGAGATTAATGTGTAGGTGTAGGTGAAATAAGGTGTAGACAGAGAAGAGAAGGTGACCAAGGACAGAGCCCTGTGACACCCCCACTGAAAGCTGAAAGGGTGAGGAGGAGGATCCTCTGAAGGAGCATAGAGTAGGAGGAAAATCAGGAGAGAAGAGAGTCATGGAAAGAAAAAGAGGACAAGATTTCAAGAAAAAACACAACAGTTGACTGCGTCAAAGGCAGCTGACATGTCAAGGAGGATGAGGATGAAGTACTGGTTCTGAGATTTGGCTAAAATAGTATAATAAAGCCAATCTTTTATTTTTTATTAAATCTACAAAGCTTTGGGTATGAAATAGAAATAACCAGAATGTATGTATATTGTTTAAATAATACATACGTAATAGTAGTTGAACTAGGAAAGAAATCCATAAATTGTTCTTTATGAGGTTAAAATTGTAATGTACAGATACTATAAGCATCCTGCAGATTTTGCAATTACTTGAAAGATTAGAATTGTATGGTAACTACATCTGTAAAATATTTTAATTTTATGTACTGTGACCTAATATTTTCACCTTCATAGCAGTTTCCACAATAATTAGAATGTGTGAACTTCTAAAATGCAGGCTGTATGTGAATACAGATGATTTATATATATTAGTAAGGACATTGTTATTTTACTTTTAGATACTGAAGAACAACTACGTGAAGCTGAAGACATTACAAAATGTTTAGAAGCAGAAAAAGTCAAAGTTAGTGAAAAGCCTCAGACTGACATTGAATGTTTAAGGTAATGATCATCAGTTGTGTACTTTAGTTTTCAAACTTAAACTTTGCCTTTACCATTTTGGACCATTCCTCTATGTCATGGTATCTACATTGGGCCTAATTTTAGCTTTTTATGCATAATATTCCCTTTGAAGTGTGAAGAAATAATCAGTGTCTGTTACAGAACAAATCCTGTTGCCCTTACTTATGACATCCAGTTAAGTCAAAGACTTTGCTCCTTGTTGTCCGGCTATACCAAAAGAAGGACAGGAGACATTTGATATGGATTTAATCAGGCTGCAACATTATTATTAGATGTCTGGGACTGCCCAGCAGACAGGGCCGGTTCTAGCTTTTTTGCTGCCCCAAGCAGCGAAAAAAAAGTGCCACACCCCAGCACCCCTGCCGAGCGCCGCGCCCCCCCCCAGCTGAGCACTGCCGGAACCCCGCCCCAAGCGCCGCCCCCTGCCACGCGCCGGAGGCCCCCTCCCCGCGCCGAGCGCCGCCGGAACC